AAAACCTATTGGTCCTGAGTAGAGTGCCACCACCACATCCAGATGATTTCTAAACACACCCCCAATGCCTGCCCTTCCTGGGTTGCCAAGAGAACTCCCATCAAAGTTCAGTTTTAGTTTGTTCAGTGCTGGTGGCTTCCATTCCATGCTTACAAGTACTTTGGGTACATCTTTTTGTGCTACTTCAGCCCAATTTCTTAATATCTCATTCGTGGAGTAGTTTCTGAATATCTCCATGGTCTTCACCCAATGTGCAGTTCTGAATTTTATTGCTTCAATAACTTCCTCCTTTGTTTTGCTTTTTTCCTGAAAAGATTCTTAGGTTTCTTTCCTCCCATATAGTCCATACTGTAACTGCTCTCACTGCCTTCCATATGCACTTTCCCCTTGTCTTCTGTTGACACAGGAAAGAGGAGCTGGATAGACTTACCACATCCTGTGGGGGAGCCCATCTACATCCAAAGAGAGAACAAACAACATTCCAAATACCAGAAGCAAAATAGCAAGATAATAGTAAGTGGGTTAAAGTTTTACCACATCCCAAACAAAGGACACACAGATGAGGAGAGAGGCAATTGTTTGGCCTCCTTTTCTGTAGCACATCACAAGTGTTTACCTTCCCTAGGAACACTTCCCAACAGAAAGCTTGTACTTTTGGAGGGATCGGTTTACCTTCCCTAGGAACACTTCCCAATAGAAACCTTTTCTCAACCCTTTCCACCACCAAAATCCAAAAACTAGTCAATCTAGGGTCACCACCTAAAGGCAACCCTAAATATCTAAGAGGCCACTCTCCACTCTCACACCCCTAATCTCCTCATCTTCCAAATTAATACCAGCCACCAAGCTTTTATTCCAATTAACACACAAATTAGACACCTTCTCAAACAGACTTACCACAAGCTTCAAGTTCTCGATCCCCTCCCTACTCTCACCATCACACGAGATTAAGATGTCATCTGAAAACTGGAGGTAAGTCACCGCGACCCTGTCTCTCCCTAAAGACCAACCTCTAAACAACTACAAACTGCTTGCTCTTGAAATCAATTTACTAAGGACCTCAGCCACTAAAGTAAAGAGGAAGGGAGAGAGGGGATCACCTTGTCTTAAGCCTCTAATCCCTTAAAAAAAAACAACCACCGACCCTTTCAAAAATTAAAAAGCATTGTTTCTGATGTAATCTGTACTATATGCCGCAAAGGGGCATTCTAGTCTTTTCCCTTTTTTATTATGTATCTGGTCACCCTACTATTTAAAATAAAAAACTGGTTGTTCTTCTTCTCCTTGCTGAACACATGGTATCAGAGCAGGACAATGCTCTCTAAATCTGTTCTCTAGTCATAGCACATCTTCCTTCCTTGAACTGAGAATAGAAGGAACAAACTTGTCCCAGCCCTGAGAACACTCTGGCCTCTCTCTACCCAGAACTCGACTGTAATCTAAAAGAGGACAATATCAGAGATCTGTGGATGATTGATTGAACCTTTTTTAGAGGTCAGTGATTATTTTTCTTTCCTTTTATTATTTCTGGGTTGCAGTTTTCAAAAGATTTGCTCGGACTGAACAGGGGCAAAAACCAAATTATTTGTAGCCTCGGTTCTTGGCAGTAAGACCAAGGACAGGCTAAGTTCTGCATTGACTGAATGGTGTATGGGGTGTTTGACCTTTCTTTGTGGATCTGTAGATCCGAAAACTACAAGGTTTTGAAACCTTTGTAGGTCATGAGTGACCTGGTTAATTTGACAGAGTACTGCAGTGACTTTCACTGATGTTTTTGTGGCTTGTATTGGCTTGGAAGAGGTCTAAGTGTTGACAGTTTTAGACAGTGTATGCCCTTAGCTCCAATCAGATTGATGTACTGATACATTTA